AAATGGATGGCATTAGAGCAGATTATGCTAAGTGAAGCTAGCCAATCCCTAAAAAACAAATGCCAAATGTCTTCTTTGATATAAGGAGAACAACTAAGAACAGAGTAGGGAGGAAGAGCATGAGAAGAAGATTAACATTAAACGGGGACGAGAGGTGGGAGGGAAAGGGAGAGAGAAGGGAAATTGCATGGAAATGGAAGGAGGCCCTCATTGTTATACAAAATTACATATAAGAGGAAGTGAGGGGAAAGGGGAAAAAAACAAAATATATATTATATAAATAGTGTTTCTAGTGTTCTGTATTCTTAAGCCATTACAGAGCTGCAAAAATGAACAAAATCATAAAGCCTCTTATTTATACAGGTGCTCGAGTTTGGCTCTTCATTGGTTTCATGTTGATGTTTGGGTCACTAATTGCTTCCATGTGGATTCTTTTTGGTGCATATGTTACCCAAAGTAAGTATTACTCCTTTATTTCATAGGATAAATTCAGATGTCTTTCATATTGGACTTAGTCCACCTGGAGTAAAATTTAGTGTAATTATTGAGTTAGCTGGAAGCTATTCCTCTGCACGGAGAGTCGCTAGTCATTAATAAAGCTTATACTGCGCATCAGGATGGCTTCAGTTAGGAAATCCCAGCCACTGACGAAGGCTGATCTTTCAGCCGTCTCTGGAGTTTTGATTCCTTTCCTTATCTTGGACAGCCAGTCTCTTCCACTAGAGGCCATTTACTGGGGGTTACTCTGGTAAAAATGAGAAACCAGTATAGATCTGTAGTTAGTTCTCATCTACACAATTCTGAAATCCATAAAATGTTCAAAATCAAGTTTTTCATTGACTGGTTTGACAGGAAAACCTGACCTAAAATGACAGGCAGTACAATATGGTCTTTATCCCATTTAATATATTTAAATGTTTTATTGCAAGAATGAATTTGAAGCCTGGCATGGTGATGCACGCCTATAATCCCAGCTACCCAGAGACAAGAGGCAGGATGATCACAAGTTTGAGGCCAGCCTCAGCAATTTAGCAAGATCCTTTCTCAAATTAAAAATAAGGCCAGGCATGGTGGTGCACGCCTGTAATCCCATCACCTTGGGAGGCTGAGGCAGGAGGATTGAGAGTTCAAAGCCAGCCTTAGCAAAGGTGAGGTGCTAAGCAACTCAGTGAGACCCTGTCTCTAAATAAAATACAAAATAAGGCTGGGATGTGGCTCAGTGGTCAAGTACCCAGGAGTTCAGTCCCCAGTACCAATGAATGAATGAATGACTGGATGGATGGATGGATGGATAAGTAAATAAAATAAAATAATAAGAGCAACTTGAGATATAGCTCAGTGGTAAAGAACCCTGGATTTAATCCCCATTATAAAAATAAAACAAATTCAAATATGTTTGATTTTGGGGATGCTAGTTCGGACCCACTGGTATGCTATGTAACATACATGTTTTATGTTTCTGTTCTTAAATCTGAAAAATTCTGAATTCTGATGCTTATCTTGCCCTCAGGATTTCAGACAAGGGCTGTGGATCCAATATTTTCTACTGACATTCTTTCCAACTTAAGCCTGTTCTTTTTAAGTTTCTACAAAGAGGAGTTTTTAAGGGTAGGAGCAAAGATATGTGTACCCTTCCTGCAGAAACAGTTAATGTAGAGAATGTGCCTTTATATCACCATTCTGAATATCACCATTTTGAATATTCTGACTGTGCCAGGTGCAAAAGCTTTTCATCCAGGTTGGAGTTAAAAAGCAGAGTCTAATCTCTCTGGAAGCATCTAAGAGCCTGTTTCATGGGCTCTTCCCAAATATAGGAGTTGGTTTCAGAGAACATTTATTTGTCCTCTGACCTCTCTACCTCTGGAATCTCTTTGTACTTCCCTAATGGTCACATATTTTTATCCTGACCCACAGCTGATCTTTGAATACTTTTGATAGTATTTCTTAAATCTCATTGATTGATACTGATTGTTGAGAGCCACAGCCAAAGGGGCCCCAGCAAACTTCCAGCTGCTGGCTGCTGATTGGCTCACAGCGGCCCCAGCAACATCTAGCTGATTGGCTCCTCTGCGGTGATGTTCATTGGGCTGTTTCCCTGCCCTTCAGACTGCCAGCTGATGATTGGCTCACAGCGGCCCCAGCAACATCTAGCTGATTGGCTCCTCCACGGAGCTGCTCATTGGGCTGTTTCTCTGCCCTTTCAGACCACGGAACTGCTCATTGGGGAACTTCTTTGGCTCCGCCCACGCGACCCAGCCAATCGGCCTCAAGAGCAGGAGGATTGTGGGAGGTTGAGAGGCTGGTGTGTGGGTGAGAGGCTTGTGGAAGCCGGTGGTGGCAGTTAGGCTCTGAGGGTTTTTTTCCTGAGGAGCTGTTTTGTTTGGTGTTTGTAGTTCTAAAAATAAAGTTAGTTTCTTTTGGAAAAAAAAAAAAACAATCTTTAATATCTATAACTAAAACATACCAAGTTTTTGGCAAAGCAGACAATTGAGGAATCCCCGATTGAGCAGGTCCCATAATGACCATTTCATTATTAATGGCTCTTAAATCTTGCAATAATCTCCATTTACCAGATTTCTTTTTGATGACAAAAATGGGAGTATTATGGGGAGATACAGAAGGTTGTATATGTCCTTCCGCTAATTGTTATTTGACCAGATCATGGGCTACTTGTATCTTTTCTTTAGTCAAGGGCCACTGAGGAACCCATACTGGTCTTTCTGATTTCCATGTAATTTTTATTGTCTCAGTGGCCCTTTGTGAAAATCCAACCCATGTTTCTGTGTGTTCCTTGATCTATTTGTATTGGTGCTGCTATACCTTGTTCTTGTTTTTCTAATCTTTTCCTTTCCTAAAACCTTGTCTAGCCATAATAGTGGGTGCATTTTGATTGATATTATTTGTTAATGTCAAACCTAATTGATCTAGGACAACTGATCATTCCAAAGATTTTTGGAATGCCTTGTTTTTCATGTGGTACAAGTTTTAATTGAGAGTTCAAGAGGACTGTGGTTAACTAATATTTAAATAACATTGCTCACCAAATAGATCTAAAATGTGTTATTTTAGTTAATTAAAAATATGAATAGAGCTGATCATGGTGGTGCATGCCTGTAATCCCAGTGACTTGGAAGGCTGAGGCAGGAGGATTGCAAGTTTAAGGCCAGCCTTGGCAATTTAGCAAGACTGTGTCTCAAAATAAAAAATAAAAAGGCCTGGGTATGTCTCACTGTTTAAGCATGCTTGAAGTATCCCCAGTACCCCAATAAAAATTACTGATAGAAGGCTGGTGGTACAGCTTAGGGGTGGAGGCCCTTTGGTTCAATCCCTAGCATCCAAAAAATATACACTAATAGAGCACATGGTTCTAGGATAAAGATCAACAGAAGGAAAGTACTTTAAAAAAAATAGCTTCATTGACATGAAATTTATATAATCTATAATTCATCTATTTAAAGTGTACAATTCAGTATTTTTAGAATATTTATACAGAGTTGTTCTCCCAGTTGAGAACATTTTTATCACTCAATAAAACATCTCATGCCCATTATGCAGTTATTCCCCATTACCTCTCTTCCCCAACCCTAGGCAACCACAAGTGTATCTGCCTATTTTCTATAGGAAAATATATTTTAAGCCCATTTTATCTCTGACTCAAGAAGGGTGAGTTGCTATCACTGATTTCCTTGAAAGGTCTGTATAGTTATGTTAAATGAAAACTTGACACTTGAACAGTTTATTTGGGCAAAGAATGATTCATGAATTGGGCAGTACCCAAACCATACAGGTTCAGAGAGCTTCACCCAGCAGCAGGAACAGCAAGCTTAATAGGCTAAACACAGAAGCAAAATAGAGAAATCTTACATTATAAAGAATACATTTCTAAATTAGGTTTCAATTTGTATACTGAGGTAAGTTTTCGGGTACTTTATTGTAGTTTGATGACCTTCTGCTTATTTTAACAGTTACTTCAAGCAGCACATAACATTTTCCAGTTTCTGTAGTGAAAATGGGAATAACTTGTCATTTCTGTAAGGTGTGTAGGGAAGTGTTTTTTATAAAGGCTGTACACTCATTGGCTCTATCTTAATCTTCAAGAACTAGTACATTTTTATTTTTATTATTTTTTTTAATTAAAAAAAATTTTTTTTTAGTTGTTGATGGATCTTTGTTTTATTTATTTATATGCGGTGCTGAGAATCAAACCCAGGGCCTCACACATGCTAGGCAAGCACTCTGCCACTAGCCTAAAAACTAGTGCATTAAAAAAAAAATTTAAAAAAAATTTTTTAGTTGTAAATGGACACAATATCTTTATTTTACATGGTGCTAAGGATTGAACCCAGTGCCTCATGCATTCGAGGTGAGCACTCAACCACTGAGCTCCGACTCCAGCCCCAAGAACTAGTGCATTTTGAGAAATTTCTTAATTATGGGTCTCATCTTATTTCAACAGCATTGCTCATTTTATGTAATCATCTTCTTCTTCTTCTTTTTTTGGTGCTGGGAATTAAACCCAGGGCCTTGAGCATAAAAGGCAAGTACTCTACCAACTGAGCTATATCCCCAGCCTATAATCTTCTATTTATATAGTGAATATACTTTTATTTCAGAAGACATTTATTACATGTTTCCAATCTTTGTACAATTTTTTTAAATTGTTAATATTCATAATAGTAGCTGTAATTTATGTGTATGTAGGTTGAACATCACTAACAGGAAAACCTGAGATCAAAATGCTCCAAAATCAGAAACTTTTTAATTGCTGACATGATGTCACAAGTGGAAAATTTTACATGGCCTCATGTGATGAGTTATAGTCAAAACATAGGTGCACTGAAAATATTGTATAAAATCACCTTCAGACTATTATTGTATAAGGTGTACATGAAACATAACTGAATTTCTGTTTAGACTTTGGTAGAACTTCCAAATTATTTCATGATTATGCAAATATTCCAAAATCTGAAAAAATATGAAATGTGAAATGGTTTTTGGTCCTGAGTATTTTGGATAAGATATATTTCAACCTGTACCATTTAAGGAGCCAGGTACCTAGACAGTATACATAGACATTTAATTTTGACTCTTTGTGGGATAGATGCCCATAATACCCATTTTACATATGAGGAAACCAAGATGTACTGAGATTAAGTAATTTGCATAAGGTTATATTGTTTATTAGTCCTTGATAGAATTAGGATTCAGTCCCAGGAATTGGGGTTAAACTTGGAATTTTCTTTTGTTTGCTAGGATGCTTAAAACGAAAAGTTAAACCAGTTTCTTCATCCTGTCCAGTATTTTTTAATTAATCTGTATAGTTTAACAAAAGTTAATTATCCAAAAAATTTAAGTAGTTTCTGCTTTTTTTTTTCTCTTCCTATGAAAATAGAAACTATTTCCTCCAGGATAGAGTCAGTGAAAAAAATGATATAGGTCATATTTGTACAATATAACTCCTGAATTCATGAAAGAAAATACATTAGAAAACTATAAAAAATTAAAATTTTATTTTGTATCTATCATTTTAAATTTCTAGAGAATTGCTACACTCCAAACCCCATTTTATATTTCTGTATTGGTCATAGGAAGCAAAGGGACAAGCTGGCCAGGTGTGGTGGCACATACTTATATCTTAGCCATTCAGGAGGCTGAGGAGATGGCACGTTGGAGGCCAGCCTTAGCAACTTGGTTAGACCCTGCATCAAAATAAAAAATAGAAAGGACTGGGGATGTAGCTCAGTGGCAAAATGCTCCTAATCTTAACTCCAGTACTCCCCAACCTCACCAAAAAACAAAACAAAACAAAAACTGATTCTTTAGCACTGGTTTGTTTGTTTTGTTTTTGAAACTGGGTCTTGTTAGATTGCCCAGGCTGGTCTCAAACTTTTGGGATCAAAATAGTTAAAACCATAGCAATTACTTTAGACAAAAAGAAAATCTCCTAAGAGCCATATTTGGGAGAATGAAATTGGTGTTTTATTATTTCAGTTTCATTATTGATGTCTTAGAGTTGGTGTATTAATAACAGTAGTATGTTCTAATATGTAGAGTATGTCATTATGATTGTCACCGACTTTCTTACTGCCATTTGTCTTTGTAATCTTCTAATCCATTTTACTTTGCATGTGCAGATACTGATGTTTATCCGGGACTGGCTGTCTTTTTTCAAAATGCTCTTATATTTTTTAGGTAAGTTGCTTAATTTCTTTACTTCTGTAACACAGAAATTCAGTTCTTCTATAAGAGCAGCATGTGCATGGAACATACAGGAGTCCCTTGTATTAGTTAGAAAGGATAGGACTGAAACAATAAAAAATGCCACTTGAAATAATAAAAAATGCCACTGTTACATAAGAGCACATACAGGCCTTTTAATTAGAGGGCCTGCCATGTGCCAAGACCTCAGCTGGATACTTTATATATATGTTACCTTTTAATTCATAATAATATATATGTTACCATTTAATACTTCAATATATGTATAACAGGTGTTAGTCCCATTTTATAGATAAGGAAATAAGGTTCAGAGCTTACTTAATGATACCCAGATAGTAAATGCAAGCAGGGATTTGAACCTAGACACTTGCTTTATTAAACTACAACAAAAACAACACATGTGTACCTTTATGAAAAATAAGAAAAAGGAAAAATTAGAATTAATACACAGTATGCATGTTATATCCCAACCCTGGTAGGATTTGAGCTTTCTAATTGAGTTCTTAAGATAAATTAAAGCAGGTATAAAAATGATATTAGGGGTGTGATGGTGCACATCTGTAATCTTAGCAACTCAAGAGGCTGAGACAGGAGGATTACAAGTGCCAGGCAGCCTGGGCATCTGAGTCGATCCTATCTCAAAAATAAAAAGGAAGCTGGGCACAGTGGCATATACCTATAATCCCAGTGGCCTGGAGGCTGAGTCAGGGGGATCATGAATTCAAAGCCAGCCTCAGCAACTGCGAGGTGCTTAGCAACTCAGTGAGACCCCGTCTCTAAATAAAATACAAAATAAGACTGGGGATGTGGCTCATTGGTTGAGTGCCCCTGAGTCTATTTCTCAGTACCCCCTGCTCACCCCCTCAAAGTGTTCTTTTAGGGGAAATCTTCTAAGAAGCCTCCACCTCCAGAGTGACACCTGTATTCTGTGTTTCAGAGCAAATGTCTTGCTGTCAACATAGGTATTTTAGGCATCCGTTAAGTAAGATCTAAGCCTTGAAGAACTTTGTCACTCGTTTTAAGCAATAGAGTTATGATGTGCTGTGGTGCAGTTTCTTCATATTTCTTCTGATTAGAGTTTATTGAGTTTCTTGGATTTGTGGTTTATGGTTTTCGTCAATTTGGACTCTTTTCAGCCCTTATTTCTTCAAATATTCCCCTGTCCTCCTTCTCTTCCTCCTCTCCCTTCTTCCTCCTCTTCTTCTTCTGCATCAGTGCTTCCTCCTCCTCCTTCTCTGCTTCTTCTGTTTCTACTTCTGCTGCTGCTTCTGATGCTGCTGCTGCTGCTTCTGTGGTTCTGCTTCTGCTGCTACTGCTGCTTCTGCTTCTGCAGTTTTTTCTTCTGCTTCTTTGCTGCTGCTTCTGCTTCTGTAGTTTCTGCTTCTGCTGCTTCTGCTTCTGTTTCTACTGCTGCTTCTGCTGCTGCAGTTTCTGCTTCAGCTTCTGCTTCTTCTTCTGCTGCTTCTGTTTCTTTTGCTGTTTCTGCTTCTGCTTCCACTTCTTCTGCTTCTCCTTCTCCCCACCTCCTCCTCTTCCTCCTCCTCTTTTTAAAAGAGATAGGATCTCACACCATGTGGCCCAGACTGGCCTTGAACTCTTCCTGCCTCAGCCTCCGAGTAGCTGGATCCACTGCACCTGCCACCAGTCCTGGCGCAGCTCACTCATATTCAGTTGTTGTATTTCTCTCACTGGTTCAGTCTGAACAGTGTCTACTGTTGGATCTTTAGGCTCACTTCTAATGGACTCCTAACAGAAGTCTAGACTCATAGACTTCTAATCTACTGTTAATCCCATCCTGTGACATTTTTATATCACATATTATATTTATCATCTCTAGAAGCTTGATTTAAGTCTTTTTATATTTTCCTTGTCTCTCCTTAACGTACTCTTGCCTTCTTCTATCCTCTTGGTCATACTGGGTATGTTTCCAACTATTTCATTGTCTTTGTCTAATTGCCTTTGTCATTTCTGGGTTTGCTTCTGTTGATTATTTCTGCTTCTGTTTACTTTTCAGTTTGCATCTATTTTCACCTACTTGCTGTTTTACATGCAATTTGTTGGGGTTGGATTTTTTATTTCACAAATATTTTTCAACTTTGTTCTGGGATGCAGTTAGGTCACTTGGAAATGGCTTGACCCTATCAAGTCTTTTCTTTCTTTTTTTTCTTTTTTCTTTTAAAGCTTGGTTAGGCAAGACCAGAGCAGCTTTTGTCCAGGACTAATTTGTCCCCTTCCTAGTACTACCTTCCGAGTGTTCCTTCCTATACTCTGATGTTCCATGTGTCCTGAAGTGTCTCCACTCTGTGTGGGAAACTGGGCTTTCCTCCCAGCCCTGTGGGACCCAGGGGGCTTTTCTTTTCCTGCTTGTGTAGTTTCCTCAGTGTACCTGCTGATCAGTACTCAGTGAAGATGCAGTGACCACCCCATGGCTCTCCTGGGCTCCCTCTGCATGACTTTCTATACTTTGCCTTGAAGTCACCACTCTGGGTTCCCTGTACTCAGAACTCAGGGAGATGCCCATGTTTTATCTGGGTTTCCTCTTAACTGCACTGTTGCCTGGACACTCCTGATTTTGAAAGATGTTTGAGTTCCTGCTATTTTGTGATCGTATTTCTTGGCATGTGACTGACAGCCTTCGGGAGATCCAGTAAATTTTCATGAGGACGTTTTAGGCAGTATTTTTTAGGGATTAGATTTAAATTCAGTTGTTTGTTTAGATTTAAGTGCACTTGTTTGAGGTGGTAGATAAATCCACATAAATGACAGCTGGATGAGCAAGAACCTTGTGTGCATTAAGACTTGTGCTCAGGTGGACAGTGACAGCTGCATCACCTGGTGCTGGGCCCAGGGGCTGGCAAATTGTCAGGCCAGCTTTTGTGTGTCCATGTGCTAGGCCTCTTCTCAGCACCAGGAATAGCACATTGGGTCACAGCCCCTCCTACTGGCCACTCCTGCAAGCTGACACACATTCCCTGACCATACCTTTTAAAGTTTCTTAAGGCTCTGTTCTAGGCTCACTCTTGTCTTCTTGCTCTTCTCCTCTCTAGATGAGCTCATTTATGCTTAGAATTTCAGTTATTGCTTATATGCCGATGAGTTGTGGGTGTGTTTCCAGGTCTAAACTCTATCTAGATTCTTACTTAACATCTCTGTTCGGGTTGTTGACATTTCAAATTCAACACATGCAGCATGTCCTCATGGTCCCATCTCTCTGTTCCTTCCTCCAGCTTTGCAGACAATTCCCTCTTCTTTTGGATCTTGGTTCAGTCACCACTTCCTCAGGAAAATTTTCTTGACTTTTCTGAGTAGGTCACATCCTTATATTTCCCTCTTATGTTATTTGTGTGCTGCTCCTTTGTGGCTTTTTTTTTTTTTTTTAGTTGGACTTTTACATTTATTTGATTGTCATCCTCCCTAGGCTTTTAGCTGCATTAGGAAGCAAATTTGTGCATTTTAACTCAGTCATATCCCAACACTTAGCCAGGGCCTGACATGTAGCCAGTCCTGAGCACACAATAATGATTTGTTAAAAGAATAAAGAAGCTTTGGCAACTATAACTCAGATATAGCGGACCCCTGGGATGTAAAATGGCCCCAAGGACTGCCACTATGAGAAATGTCTCTTTCCCCTACAAGTTTCCTATGTAATAACTTTCTAGGCTTTAAGAAGGAATACTTAAACTCGGCCATCATGATTAAGCTGCTTTACAAAATAAGTGAATTTAGATTCCTCCACCATGATCTTTCATTTAGTTTTATAAATGAATGCAAAGTACCCATCAAAGTATATTTAGAAAACGGATTCTGTGTCACTCATTCATTTGTTTCTCATGATTTGTATTCGTATTTTTTTAAGCACTCTGATCTACAAATTTGGAAGAACTGAAGAGCTCTGGACCTGAGATCACTTCTTAAATCACATTTTCCTTTTGTTATATCCTATTTGTAGATAGGTTTTTATCTCTTGATATAATTTACACATTGCCAAATGGAATAGATTGTACATTAAATGTTTAGTTTCTTTACATTTTTATGCCTGAGTTTTGAAATAGTTTTCTGAAATTCCTGTCCTTTTTTTTCATTGACTAGACTGTTAATATGTACATAATATAAGACTGTATAGATTGGATGATGAGTATCAGTTTTTTATTCCCGAGACTTAGAGCTTGATCTGTTCCCTGAGCCAGGGTTATGTCATCATGTTTAGAGGTAAATACTCTGTCTCAGTGTCTCCAGTTTCTGAAGATGTGCAAAAAAATATAGCTCCATGTACATTGGAGTAAGCATTGAGCCATTAAAAAAGGTATTTCTGCAAGTTGTAATTTATTTTGGCTTACAAATGGGATTTTTTAAGGGAAAATGTTTGTTCCTATATATTAAAGAAGTGGACTTTTATATGAAGATTTTTTAAATGCCCAAAGGACTAGTTTGAAAGTTTCTTTTAAAAAGAATTCCTTTAATATGACTTTATCTGGGAAAGGATAGAGGATAATCATATAAACTCTGTTTGTATGGTTAATGTAAAGGCTATAAGGCAGCTCAGCATGTTCTTCCTGTAAAAGCAGCTTAAATGATCTACCAGGTTATCTTTTGACAGCCTGTCATTATCTGACATTACATGGTTCCATAGCAGGCAAGCTTGAGACAGCTGCAGTTTAGAAGCATGAACCATATTTAAAAAAAATAAAATAAAATAACTAGTTTAAAAATAAAGCTTCTTCCCAGACGAGATTTTATGACCTAGTGAAAATTTAGGCATTTCATCCATTTAGAGACAGACTGCAAGTCTCTTTTTGTTCTGGCTCTCAAGCTTTGGGTGAACAGTTGCTACAAAATTTATCTTCAACTAAAAGTTCACTCTGATCCAAAACTTCTTTACCGAATTTGAAATCCTGTATTTGCACTGTATATTCCTATGGGCCTTTTGGGACACTTTTGCTTTCCTTTGTTATAAAGATTTTATGTTGCACTTTTCCCCAGAGGGGTTTTATAGAGCCTTTTGCTGTAAAACAGAATGGTACAATGGTAGTATATGCAACTTCTAATACAAGCCTTATCTTGCATAACTCCTGTCTCCTCTCTGAGAGGACTTGCTGTGGGCAGCGAATGAAGCAATTGCAGAATGCTGTGCCTTTTGTCTAGATGCCATCTTACTTCTTTCTTGTTTCCTAAAACGGCAGTAAGCTTTGTCTTGCTTCCAGAGAATCAATCATAAGACTGATGACTTGTTCCCAGCCTTATCACCTGTCGCAATGCACATGACTGCTCATACATTTAATATTGTGTGTTGGAGAAAACGGACCATAAAGATTGGTTTGCTGTTCACTTTTACTTATTTAAGTATACTGAACAACAAAACAGTTTGTCCTTATAAAATAAGGAGAAATAATGCCAAGACTGTAAGATGTTGGTGTAAAGGTTTATGAAGGGCATCCCTGAAGACCGACTGAAAGTGGTGGTGTGGTCTTTTCTGTTCTTGACTCTGACATGAATTTGCTTTTTAATTGTGAGCAAGTCATTTAATTTCCTGTGTTTATTTGCTCATTAAAGAAAAAGAGAGATAATGTTAGTATCCACCTCACAGAGACTGTGAGTTAGTAGGATCCTTGGTAATCATTTAAAGACACATGTGATTCCCTTAATAAAGGTCTCGCTGTTACCCAGGTTCAGTGGCTGTTGAGTCTGAATGTCTTTTGCGTGTGGACTACCATTATCAGAGTATTCTATTGTATAAACTGTCTCTAAGATCCTTGTTGTAGTCTTTGTGTTTCCATTGATTAAAAAAAAAAAAACAGGCTGGATTTTCCCATTATATAATTTTTTCTCCTAAGACATTGACATACATTACCATAATGAGTTTTGAGGACTGAAAGATCATTTCAAACCACTAACTTGTCCTCTTCAGCAAGAACCCTGGAGTGTTCAATGCAGACACAGTGAACTCATGTTCTCTATTTTTCCCTGATAGAAGAAGGGTGTCTGGTATGATGTCAACTCAAGAGTATTTGTTTGCATTGCTTCTTTATAGATTAAAATTCCTTCAGATGAATTTCTGCCAGTTGTATACATTTATCTTAATTCTTCCATGCTTCTCTCCTATCAGCACTCAATTGGATTTTGGTTAAAGTTTGTGGAAGTTTGGGGCTACTTTTACATATTTTAAGGTCAAGTGATAACTCATTTAAGCCCTGGAGGAGAAACACCTAAGGCTAATTTTATTCTGTAAACTTTTTTTTTTTTTTTTTTTTTTTTTTTTGCTGTACTAAGGATTGAAGATGGCCTTGCCATGCTAGGGAAGTGCTCTATCCCTGAGCCACATCCCCCGTGCACTGACAGCCTTTTAAATTTTTTAAATTTTGAAACAGGATCTTGCTAAGATATCCAGGCTGGCCTTGAACTTGTAATCCTCCTGCCTCAGCCTCCTGAGTTGCTGGGATTACAGGTATGCACTATTGTGCACTGCCTTACATTTTGTTAGAAGATACTCCAGTTAAGGTTGTGCTATTCAAATCAATTTCTTCACTGTATCATTTGTTAAGGTAGGAAAGATGAGAAATTGAAGTAGAAACTACTTGAAGTAGAAATTAGTATTTTTTTTTTTTTTTTGATGCTGGGCAACAAACCCAGGGCCTTGTGCATGCCAAGCATGTGCTGTACCTACATCCCCAGCCCAGCAATTGAGTCACTCAGTTGATTATTTTTCCTTATTTCTCTGAGAATAAAAGAATAGCCTGCTGTGTTTGATAGTTGCAATGTTTTTCTGAAGAATTATTGAAGAAAATCAGAACATGCTTATTTAATCCTAGAGTCTTTTTTTTTAACCTTGAGGGAATCGTGACACGATTTTTGTTTTCATAGCCCATCCCCATTTTCTTAGAAATAATAATTTTCCATTTTGTTATAAGTGAACTAATTTGTGTGCTGAGTCTGATGGTTTAATATCCAAAGGGTCTCATGCCTGAATTCCTTTTTAAAAAATTCATACTTTTAAAAATTATGTATTGATAAGTTATAGATGAATTGATGAGGTGCAAAGTGGTATAGGATGTTTGAATACAACATGGAGTGATTAAATTAAGCTAATTAATGTCTGTCATTTTAATCCATCCCCTGGATTTCATTATTACCAGTCCCAAAATATTTTGTCCTCCACCTCTTTCCCTTTTACCTTAAATTTGAAACTTTCCAAGTATAGTCAATTCTTGATATTCTCAGTAGGTGGGTTCTATAAAGTTGTAGTGGACTCTGAATTCGAGAGCACTGTCTCGAATTCATCGTCTCTAGGGGAAAGACAGGGTAGGTTCCTGAGAGCTGCTGGTCTCAATATTGTGTTTGGCTGATGAATATAAAACTCTGTGTTATGTGTATTTATGTCTAAAGACAACTTATTTGATATATATTGTTGACTCACCTCCATTGGATTTGTGGTGCCACAACATGTGCTTAAGCTTTCTTGTTCGCCATAACCCCTAACAGATCTCCCTAAGGCACACTGCTGGACAGCCTTCAGCAATACACGAGGAGGCCATTTTTTAAGCTGGAAATCACCCACAGAAAGAACCCAAGTGTGGAAAACACTGGTGCTGAGCAGGCTGAAAGGGTCACTGTTCACAGTGGGAAAGCGGAAAGGAGAAGGCAGGGAGAACCTTGCTTTGCTTGCCTCAGCTCATCAGGTGACTTGGTCTCTGCACATGTACTCGAGTGATCCAGAAATACCATCAAATACTGATTCTGATTCAACAATAAACGAACTTTCATTAAGCATGAAGTACCTTAACAAATACATTTTAGCAAGTAGGTGAACTTGCAATTACAGAGCATGAATAATGAAGTTGTACTGTAACTAAGGAGTTTCTAATGACTTATTTTTCTTTAATACTGTTATTTTTTTCATCATTCCTATGTTCCATCATTTTTCCCCCTCTTAATACTGCTAGCTTAATCATTCCATGTTAGGACCTTGTTTTAGCATCATTCTCTTGCTTGACACAGCACTGAGAACTCTCTCACCTGAGGTCACTCAACACAGCACTGAGAACTCTTTCACCTGGGGTCACTTAACACAGTACTGAGAACTCTCTCACCTGGGGTCACTTAACACAGCACTGAGAACTCTCTCACCTGGGGTCATCTACCATTCTCACAATTCAGAGGAAAAAGCTTTGATCAGAGAGGTCAAGTATCTTACTAATTAGAATCCTGACTCAGCCCTTCTTGACCCCCCAAACCCACTCTTCATGCCACCAGCATTTTCCCAGATATATGTATATAATATATATATAAAACATTTGTATCCTCTCAGGACCCAGGAAAACGTGTCCAAGAAGTATGGCAGACCCTGGGCTGAATCCCTGGGTTGAACTAGGTCAAAATATCCTCCTCTCAACTTTCCGTACATTTTCCCCCCTTACAGCTCTTCAAAAATGTGCAGTAAGTTTTTAGAAGGAAAGAGTCAGTTATATTGTACCTTCCATACTTGAGACCCAGAAATTGATCTCATGACATTTGAGAAATGTAATTTGAGGAAACTGCTGCTGTTATGGTGGCTTTAGGAGAATATAGAATTAACCCAAGCCCAGGCTTTGGGAAAAACCACTGCCAGCCTGATTTTAGGGAATAAAAATGTCAATGAGGGGGACAGTAGGAGAATACCTCTAGTTTTGGTTTCTAGAGAATTCTGGTTTGAAGTTGGGATTCTTGGGGGCTGTAGATTTATGGTTAGGTGGGTTTACTTCTCCCTCATTCTACCTCTGCCACTTATTAGCTATGTGACCCTGAGACTGTTTCCCTATTGGTGTGTTTGAGAATTATTCTGAAGAAATGCCTTGCACAGTTCCTGGAAATAGGGGAAAATAAACTTGGGCCCCTCTGACCCTCCCCATGGTTTTGCCTCTAAGAGAGGTTTCCTTCTTCCTCTGATGTCTTTCAGCTTTTGGCCACAAGGTGGCGTGCCACGCTAAGAAAAAACGAGCGTCTCAAGTTTACTAGTTTTTGTTGTTTTGAGCCTGCAGGTGCTGATTATTTTGTAACGATTTTATCACCACTTAAATAGCTTTTTGTAGGATTTTTAGATGAAAATACATGCCTTTCCAAATATTTTATCTGTGACAAATAGGATGTTTTAAGTTTCTACAGGTAAATACTGCAGGGCATGTAGTCTAGATCCTTGTGCCAATGTAGAGTGTATGAAATTTTTGATTTGGGAGCATCTTGGCCTCTTATCCTAGAGGTATGGACTGAAAACCAGAGAGAACACTCTAAAAACAGGTTATTTTCATCTGTTTCTACTCCAGTTGCCAAAAGTGATTTAGTATGACTTTAAGTGCACTGTGTTTATATATCCAGCCATGAAAGTTGTAAATGTATAGATATTGATTAACTTTTTATTTTTAAATAACCTAAGACAGAAAATTTTAAAAAATTCTGTATATCCTTCAGATTTCCCGAATGTTAACATTTTACCATAATTGCTTTGTTTTTTTTTCTGAAGTGTTTGATAATATGTTGCAGACTGATGCCTTTTTATGCTTGAATGCTTCTGGGTGTATTTTCCCCCCAAAATGAATATTGATACAGTATTTTTGTGTGTGTGTGTGTGTGTGTGTGTGTGTGTATGTGTGAGTGTGTGTGTGTTTCTGGGAATTGAACCTGGGAGCTTTCTGCCTCTGAGTTATCTCCCAGACCTTTTTGTTTTATTTTGAGACTAGGTCTTGCTCAGTTGCCCAGGTTGGCTTAGAAATTGTAATCCTCCTGCCTCAACCTCCTTAGTGGCTAGTATTATATTTCTGTCGTCTGGCTTCTTATGCTTTTCAAGTACCTGAATGAACTTATCCACAGAGAATATATCATATGTTTATATTTCCCTGAATGCAAATATGAAATGTGTTAATATTTATATTTATTATACTTGTTATTTATACCATGTTTTAATTAAAAGAAAAACAGTTAATATCTTTTGAAAGTGATTTTATGTTGTAACTGGCTGTATGAATGTAAAGTAACCCTAGCCATCTGTTTCTCCCCCCACCCCCTGGCCCCCCCTTTTTTTAATAATTGAGGAACCCAGTATTTCCACACTGGGATGAATTTTAGGTTGCATCATTTTCAGTTTCCTTAGTGCTGGCAAGGCACCCCAAATAGCATTCTCCAGAGTAATAGGCTGTTCCAAGCCCTAGGTCACTAGCACCCACGGATTGGTTCCCACACCCTCCCAGGTGAAGCCTGCTGTCTTCCCTCGCCATAAACCAAAATAAGGGAGGAAGGAACCACTTTGACTCTTGGCACCTCCTCCAGGGAGGCTTCTTCAGCAATGAAGGGCAGGAAGTTCCAGGCAGAATGACCTGGAGAATGCCCGGGTTGAGCCTCAGTTCTCACGGAACAGAAGCACAGGCTAGGATGTTCTCACATCCAATGCAGGCTACTTGGCAGACAGTAAATATACTTTGGAGAGCTGTGGGACACCTCACAGAGAGATGTGACCGCACAGTAACTCTGCAGACTTAATCTGAACACTATGAACAGAAAAAAAATGTAAAATGAAATGAGTCACAGAGTTGGATGATATAGTCACCAGCTAGAAACTGAGCTGTTCCGCATGCAGGCAGTTAGTTTCTGGGTGAGAGGGCAATACTCATTTCTCCAGGGTAGGAAATCAGTCAATGTCCTATCA